GCCCGGCCCCGCCCGCCGCGGGCCCGCCCCGCCCCTCACCTGCGAGGGCCGAGGAGAAGCAGAAGGCGTCGTAGTGGTCGCGCTTCCAGTCGCGAGGGCCGTAGCTGCGGATGCCTGGGCGGCCGCGGCCGCCGCACGCAGCGCGCGCCGTGAGCACCGGGTAGCGCACCGAGCCGTCCAGCAGCCAGCCCGCGTTACACCAGTCCAGCCCCTCCGTCCAGGCTGGCGGGGAGGGCGGGGGAGGGGTCACCCAGTCCGCAAGGGAAGCACAGGTTTGCTTGTGCGGACTGACTAATCTGTAGCAAACCGTACTTGTTTATAGGGAACACCAAACCAAATTCACTGCCTTCGACTCGATTCCGACTCGTAACAACCCTATAGGGCAGGGGAGTGGAACCGCCCTGCGGGTGTCCGAGAAGGTAACTCTCTCGTCGAGAGCCTCGTGGTTCTCCCGCGGAGAACCTGGTGGTTCCGAACGGCTGACCTTGCGGTTAGGAGTCCAACGCAAGCCCCACTATGCCACCAGAGCCCCTTTCGTGGTGAAACGACAGATGAGTTAAGTAAGCACAAGTAAACCCGAGCTTACTTTGCTCCTTGAGCAATCCAACACCGCAGAAGGTACCGGGGGCCCCACTCCCACGGCCTGGGCGACCACTCACCCTGGTACAGCTGCGCATAGGTGGCCAGGCGGCCGTCCTGCTCCTCGCACGCCTGCTTGGCCTCGTAGTAATTGAACTGGTACCGGCCCCGACTGGGCTGGTACGGAAACACCACGCCTAAGGGGTGGGGGAGAGTCTTGGGACGCCCGCCCCGGCCCCAGAGGGGCTCCCCGGCTCCCCGAAGGGGCGGGGCGCGAGGCGCTGGGGGAGGAGCCCTTGGAGGCCACACCCCCGTGCCGAGCAGCCTTACCTTCCAGGCGCAGGGTCAGCGCCACGCTCTCCTCCTCGATGCCGTTGATGAGCTCGCAGCGGTACCGGCCCTCGTCCTCCAGGCGCACGCCCGCGATGACCAGGGAGGCGTCCAGCCGGTGGCCCCTCCGCAGCCTCGCCCGTCCCCCCAGGGGCCCGTAGCCGCGGGCGTGGAGCCCGTTGGTGATGAGGATCGGTGTCTCCCGGAGCTCCCTGGGCTCCACCTTACTCCAGCGCACCTTGTAGCTGGGAGGCGGGGCGCCCAGGACGCAGGGTAGTGTGGCCGTGTCCCCACGACGAGAGTGAATGACTTCGTGGATGGGGGGCAGGAGGTAGTGGGGGCCGGGGTGGGGCGCTGAGTAAAGGAGGGCCACAGTGGCAGGAACCCCCCTGGTCCCCACTGCCCCAGCGCCCATTTCCGACACTGCACCCCACCCCCCATGTGCGTTCTGGGCTTCCCCATTCTCTCCTCTGTTGTCTGCTGTGCCCCGGGCTCCTCTCGCTCCCCGGGTACTTTCCACAGTTGCCCTCTCCACGTCCTTCACCTGCCTCGGCACCTCCCTACCACATCCCCCAGGACTGGGTTGGGGGCTTACCTGGGTCCCCCAGGGTTTTATGGATGAAGGTGAGGGCCCAAGGGAGAAGGATGCTGCAGAGCGAGAGCTGGCCTGGCATGATGGGACTCAGACTGGCACTGTTTGCTGGTCGCACACAATGGTGTTCCTTAGCCCTGCGGGCAAGGGAGCAAGGTGGGGGGGTGCACTCCCATCAGGGATCCCTTAGAGGGGACTGTGCCACTGGACACTGCCACAGGGGCAGAAAAGGGGGTCGAGGACATTGGGGGGGGGGCAGTAAAATAAACCCTCCCTGCAGGTGCCAGGGGCATATCTGTCCTCTCAGATGCAGTCAATCAGCAAGCACTTGGGGACGAAGATGGGGAGTTGGAGCCTACAGTAAGTACGGATGACAGTTCAATGTAAGGAAGACCAGAATCCTCACAACTGGACCAACAGGTAGCATGGTGATAAATAGAGAAGAGGTTGAAGTTGTCGGGGATTTGTCTTACTTGGATCCACAAGCCATGCTCATGGAAGCAGCAGTCAAGACACCCAAAGACCTACTGCCTTAGGTGAATCTGCTGCACAAGAGCTCTTTAGTGCTGAAGAGCAAGGGTGAGTTTGAGGACGAAGATGCACCTGACCCAGGCCATGGTGCTCCCCATTGCCTCGTATGTGTGTGGAAGTTGGACGTTGGATAAGGAAGACCGTGGACGAATGGATGCATTGGGATTGAGGTGCTGGAGAAGAAGATCTAAAGTCCCGTGGAGTGCTAAAGGGACAAGCCCATCTGTGTTGGCTCAGTATGACCAGAGTGCTCCTGGGAGGCCCGGACGGCAGACTTTGTCTTACATTCTTTGGGCATATTGCCAGGAGAGGCCAAACCCGGGAGAAAAGACAGGGCATTGGTCAAGTGGAGCGGGGGTGACAAAGAGGAAGACCCTCGATGAGATGGGTGGACAGTGGCTGCATCCCCGGGCTCTGGCACAGGAACAATGGTGAGGCTGGCACAGGGCTGCGCAGTGCTTCGTGCTGCGGTGCACAGGGCCGCTGTGGGTCGGATCGGACTTGATGGCCCCTAACAACAACATCTATCCCACGCTCAGCCCAACTGCTGCTTCCTCAGTCTGCCCTCTCCTGACACCTTTCTCCACCCTGCAGCCAGACTACACGGGATTATGTCACCGTCCTCTCTAAAAAGGTCTCCTAGTGGCCTTGAGGAGGAAGCCCCTCTGGGAACAAGGCTTCCAGATAGCTCTGTGGGATCCAGCCTCTCCTTGCACCTCCAGCCCGGCCCTCCCACCTCCACCCTGCCACCCTTTGTGCTGTGCTCCAGGCTCTGTGTTCCAGACCCACCGGGCTTCCCGTGGTTCCCCACACAGCCCCAGCCAGCCCTCGCCTCCTCCCCTCAGCCCCCAGTTCACCAGACTGGACGCCCCGGGATCTACTTGCTAGTTCACTAGTGGAGAACTAGTCAAAGGGCTTTATTTTCCCTTTAGAAGTTCTTTTTATTGGCACTTAAATTTAGTTTGACTTTGAAAGTCATACACATGTATTTCTTATGAAAGCATGGTTATCATTTTCTTAACTCAGACAGGCTTCCCCAAGGATAATATATATCAATGAAAATTCCCACTAATTAGACAACATTCTTTTAAATGCCATGATCTATTTTGGTCATTCATTTTTCCCTTTCTTTCTTGTACCTATTCTTTATCACCGCCCCTTCGCCCCCACCTTTTTCTGGAACTGAACTGGGGACCTCTTGACTTCGTTTTATTCGTTTTCCCTTTCTGGCTCCTCCACTTCCTAGCTGCATGGCTTTGAACAGATCACTCTTCTCAGACTCAGTGTCTTCATTAGTCAGATGTGGGTAGTAATCATCCCCCTGCCCCACTAGGTAGTTGTGAAGATTAGATGTGTTCATAGAGGAGAAAAGCTGACACTAGTGCTTGGTGCATCGTTATGTGTGATGTGTGTGTGTTAGCGCTCAGCGCAGTTTCAGAAACACTGGTAAGTCAGGTCCCTTGCCACTCCGGGGGACCCTGGAGGGCAGAGCAGCACAGCTCTGTGAACAGGGTTTCGGGGGACCCTGGAGGGCAGAGCAGCACAGCTCTGTGAATAAGCAGGGTTTCGGGGGACCCTGGAGGGCAGAGCAGCACAGCTCTGTGAATAAGCAGGGTTTCCACGGCTGTGACGCTTTACAGAAGCTACAGTCTCATCTTTCTCCCTCAGAGTGGCCACTGAGTCTGAACCACCTTCCCGCCAGCAGCCCGGCACATCATCCTCTCACCACACCACTGGGACATCTTTCTGGAACATAGCAGGTGTTTTCATGAACGAGCTCACATGGAGGACTTATGAGGAGGATGGGGGGCATAGGGAGAGGGAGGACTCTGAGTTTGACCTTTTCACAAATGAAAGCCAAAGAAAAGTGTGCAGTCGGAGAAACAGAGGTTGGGCACAGAAGGAACTTCCCCAATGGTTACCAGTCGAAGTATATGGAATATGGAACCTCAGAGACTGTACCCTCCCAGCCTGGACCTGAACACACCCCTACGGACCACCTTTCAGCCCAACAGACAGGCCTAGATAGAACACTAGGGAGGGGGCACCCCTTAGAACAGCGTTCTGAACCTGTGGGTCTCGACCCCTTTGGGGGGCGAACAATCCTTTCACAGGAATCACCTAAGACCATCAGAAAACACGTAAACATTTCACAATATATAATTACATATTGTTTTGTGATTAATCACTATGTTTTAATGATGTTCAATTTGTAACAATGAAAATACATCCTGCATATCAGATATTTCCATGGCAATTCCTAACAGTAGCAAAATGACAGTGATGAAGTAGCAACAAAAATAATTGTATGGTGGGGGTCACCACCACATGAGGACCTGTATGAAAGGGTCACAGCATGAGGAAGGTTGAGAACCGATGCCTTAGACAATCACATAGAAGATCCAGAGGGCAGCGCTGGCCCAGGATGAAGCTCAGAAGACAGGAAGGGAAAAGAAAGGAGAGGAGGAAGGGAAACCGGAAGTGGGGAAAAAGCAGGAAGAGTGGGTACTGCAATCATGAAACAAAATGTGTATGAATTGTTGAATGAAAAGGACAGTTTTCTCTGTAAACTCCACCCAAATCACAGTAACACACTTTTAAAGGGAAAGAAAGTATCCGGAACAGGGACATGTGCAAGAGAACCATCTCTCCAGTCTAGTACAACCTGGCCAATGAGAGTGACCATGGCAACTGGGAGATAGACTCAGAGACCAAACATAACCATCACTAAAGTTAGCTTGTTCTTAAAGCTGTTTAATGTGCCTGTCACTGCTCTAAACACATTAAGTTTCTATTTATCTACCTATCTATGAACTCTGCTGGCATTGTAGTAACATGTTGGGCTGCTAATCACAAGGTCAGCAGTTCAAAGCCACCAGCCGCTCCTCCAGCAAAGATGAAAGTTTCTACGTCTATAAAGAGTGACAGACTAGGAAAGCCATGGGGGCAATTCTACTCTGTCTGGTAGGGTCGCTCTGAGTGGGACTCGACTGGATGGCAGTGCGTGAGAGCCATCCTGTGAGGGAGACTCTGTTATAAATCCCATTTCACAGAAAGCTGATGGTGCCCGCCTATCAAAAGATATAGCATCTGGGGTCTTAAAGGCTTGAAGGTAAACAAGCAGCCATCTAGCTCAGAAGCAACAAAGCCCACATGAAAGAAACACACCAGCCTTTGTGATCATGAAGTGCCGAAGGGATCAGTTATCAGGCATCAAAGAACATAATATCATATCATTGTGTGCTTGTCTCCATGATACGATC